AGAGGCCGGCCCAGCCCTAACCTACGACAGTAAGAAATTTTCAAGATCTGTTTATTCTGCTGATAAGAAAAAACTGTGATATCCTTTCAGCAGCCAAGGCATAGCTGTACCACAGACACCACATACTGTGGTCATGACTATGCTGTTGTAAATGGAATAGTTTGGGCCCTGGCAGAAGTCTGCCTGCAGCTGTAAGGACCTTGTTACACCCTCCTGTGTGTCCAGTTCTCTGCATCTCTGCTATGTTCTAGTCCTTTATACTGCAGGTCTGCACTATTTTGCCTGAAACGAGGCCCCAGCAGTACGAACGTGGAAGAAGAAACATTGTCGTCTCCCCCACCCAGAGCTTCCTGTTCTGTCAACTTGCCTTCGAAAATAGTAATACATTTCATGCTCTTCTTGACAGAAAAACTTGTTTTTCCAGGAGATATTCCTTCCTCTGATCTTTCTTCCCTAGATTTGATACTATGGCTCAGGATCCGCAGCAGACTCGTCTTAGTTTGCCCTGTAGGGTGTTGAAAAGGAAAAGAAAGGGATAACTTCTCACATGGCTGGGATTTTTGAGTTCCTCTTTGGTATCCGGTCCCAGATTTTGAGGGATTGCCTACACAAGACCTCAGATACAAAATTACTTCAGCACTTATTTGTACTTTGTACTTTCCAACGGATGAAGACTTCATTTACATCAGCTGGTAAACTTGGTTTCAGACTGAATAAAAAAAATGTACTTCGAAGAGAAATATACTGTTGCAGGTGCAGTAAGGAAAAATGTTAATGTAAGTAATGCTGTAAATAGTGAAACATAGATCAATTCTTCATTCTTGCTTAATCACAGAATCACAGAATTGTTGAGGCTGGAAAAGACCTCTGAGATCATCAAGTCCAGCCTATGACCCAACACCATCACATCAATTAGACCACAGCATTAAGTGCCACATCCAGCCTATCCTTAAACACCTCCAGGGACGGTGACTCCACCAGTTCCCTGGGCAGTGCATCCCAGTGCCTGATCACCCTCTCCGTGAGGAAGTGCTTCCTGAGATCCAACCTAAACCTTCCCTGACGCAGTTTCAGGCCGTGCCCTCTCGTCCTGTCACTGGTTGCCCGGGAGAAGAGCCCGACCCCCACCTGACTACACCCTCCCTTCAGGCAGTTGTAGAGAGTGAGTAGGTGCCCCCTGAGTCTCCTCCAGGATAAACAGGCCCAGCTCCCTCAGCCTCTCATAGGACTTTCCCACTAGTCCCTACAATAAAAAGAGATAGGGGTTTGATAGTTACTGTGAAAGCTGTTTACAGAACTTTCAAAACATTCTGTTAAAAAGGTTAGTTTTTCATTGCAGAGCCTATGATGAAGCACAAATGAGCAGACTGAGTCTGTCTGTTTGGGTGCAATGAGAAAGATGGCTGAGAAGTAAAATTGCAGGTAAGTTAGTTAGAATGTCAGAAAGATGAGTGTTTAAATCATCAAAAGTCTCATTTGTTCCTATGAAGGATGCATTTTGCTATTTTTACCAGAAGCTTTGCAAGCTAGTGGACAAATTCTGCTAATGACTACAGCTCATTTTAGCTTTACCTGCATGTAATGCTTTCTTCCCTGGGGCTGGACTGTCAGCAGTGGTTTCCCAGATTTGCTGACGTGGTGTCGGTGCCGGCTCTTTCGAAGCACAGCAGAGCTTACTGCTGGGAGTAGCGCTCAGTTCTTCAATGCGCATGGTTACAGAAGACACAGGATGTTTCTGCTTGTGATTACTGCTTGTAAGTGACAAAACAAACAAGCAAGAAATTGTTTCAGACATGTAACACTGGTTTAAAAACCGCTAAGCTCAAGTTTTCTGCTAATTTAAATACTCATTTGAAATGCTTCTAGCAGTACGGAAAATTTTCTCTATTATCCCAGTCTGCACTTCAAAGGGAACTTCAAAGGAAGTTGAAATATTCTTAGCTTTTTAAAACTATTTAAAAGTCATTTCTTAGTCTATTTAAAAGATGTTCATTACTTTTAAGGCAACACCCTCATATGTTTTTAATAAAGTCAGAATGTTCTGTTATACCCACTTTGAATCCAGGAGGAACGAGTAAATTTACCATCAGCAATGAAAATAACCGACACACACATACACATACGTGTATATATATAGTCACATACATATATACCTAAGTCTCAGCATTAATAAAACATAAAAATGAAAATTCTGAAATAAACACTCTTCTAAACTGGACACGTTACCTCCCTTCCACACATACAAAATTGTTCCACAGCACTCTGCACTTTTAATTTACTTTACTTTGGTTTAATACCTTTATTTTATCATACTATTTTAAACAGAATTTTATCTTAATAACCCGTCTTTTTTAACAGAGTTTTTGCTTTTGTACCATTACTGCACATATAAATTGGGCACTGCGCAAGCTACTGGGCTGTGCTCCTGTAGAGATTACAGGTGATTTCATGCTTGAAGCTAGATTTGTGGTTGTTTCCCAGAGAGAAACCCAGTATAATCAAACATGAAAAAAACTTTTCCACAATGGCTCAGGAATCTGTCTTCAGTTTGCTGTGGAAGAACTTGTTTTTGAATGGTCATTCTTGGCACCAGCCGTTTTTCATCACTTTGTTCAACTCATGCTGAACATGTAACTATTTCTAATGATGAGATTACTTCTGATAAAAACCAAGGATAAATATGTTGTGACCATATAGACATAACATTGTAAAACCAAAAATGTGAAAAGAAGCAAGCTGGATTTTGTTCATGGTGTTTGCCATCTACTAAACAAATACATTTGGATATAATTTATATTTCAGTCAGCATATCCCAATGAGTGGCAATTCAGTCATGAAGTAGCAAGCCAGCTCTACCTGTAGGACAATAATTTTACACGAATTTCCTAGGTCACAGGGAGTAACTTTATCACGTGCTGGAGACAGAAAAATATTTTCACTTCTTTGCTTTAACTAGTCCCAATAATTTGAGACTACTGAGATATTTGAGATCATTTTGTTTCAGCATCAGAGTACTAGTGTGTTTTTCAAGATTTTTCTTTTCCATTACTGTAACTGTTTAAAAAACCCACAAACCACGAACTTTGTTTTTAAAAGAGGAGATTGTCAAAGGCCAAAAATGCAAGACAATGAAAAAGGAGAAATCTAATAGATAGCTCATATCTCTTATTAACATAATAGCAATATGAGGACATACTTATTCTCTGGATTATTTTCTCCATTATAACAATCCATCATCAGACATTTGGCATGAATGGCCTTCACTGTCTCTAGGTCTCTTTTTCCTTGTTCAATCTCTCTTTTCAAAAGACGTATGTCTTCACTCTAACAAAAAGAAAATCAAACGTTTTATTACAATCACTCCTAAACATGTTTCATTTCTGAGTGAAAACTATGCAAGATCTGATAATAATTTGGAATAATGGCTCTGTTAGGACAGCTGCAAAACTTTGTATACTTTTGCAGGTAGTCTCCTGTGCTTGGCAATAGAACTTTTCAAATTGTTACTCCTTTTTAGGAAAAGGACAAGCATTCTCTTGAGAGAATTACCCCTTGAGATATGAACAGCCATATGTCTGAATAATGTAATGAGGTCATTGCCTCCCCTTGTTACAAGCAAATAAATATGGAAAAAATAAAATACAAGATATGTACATTACAGCTGTTGTCCTGTCATTCTACAGATCACAGCTGTATCCCACACTGTCTCTGAAAAATGGGAAGTAAAAACCATACTCTTCAAGTAAATGTTGGATCTAACTTGGAATCATTTGGACTATGGGAGGAAACAGGAAGGAAATTCCAATGATGATCACTTTACAAGTCCCATAGGGACAGAATGGTAATGGACAATGTGGACACTGGCCCTCATCTTTCCAACATGTGCAAGGTCACATAGTCCACATCAGCAAAATCACCAAAATTGCCCAGTACACTCTCCAATATCTTTGAAGAGCTGGAGTATTTTCTCATATTCCTTCTAATCAGTGTCTGCAAAATTCTACTTTTCCTGCTACTGTCTGATTCCTTGTTTTTTTCATTGTTCCACTACCACCATTCCTAAAACTTGTGGAACTAATTAACTGAATACTAACTTTAATTAAAAACAAGAATATGCTTTAAATTGGTGTTTCTGTTAGTCTATTTACAAATTTCCTACCGAGGATTGTTAGATTGAGCTGCTTAGTCACACGTGATAGATCACTGCTATTCTAGTCATTTTACTCATTATAGAACTCTCCCCAGTGGCTATTGCTGAGAGAACTTTTAGCAAAATTCGTAGAATTATTCATCCATCATCACTCAAATTCAGCTCTGCATTCTCTTGTAACAAGATATAAGCAATATTTCAAAACAGTAACATATTTCTAAGACAGCAGAGATCACATGTGTTTCTTTCAGAGCTGAATTCAGTCAGTATGTATCTGGGGATTTGGTTTGGGGGTTTATTTTCTGTTTGTCTTTTTTTTATTATTATTATTATTTTAGTTTGGTTTATTTTTGCAACAGTACCACTACAAAGGTATTTTGCAGATATTTGGGGATTTTTTGGCTGTGGTCCAATAAAATTTCATAAGCAAAAAATGTCACAGTCATTACTTTCTCATCACTTCAAATCTGACTAGGATTAACCTTCTTTTTTTACTAATCTATTGTAATATGAAATCACAATAATACGAGTCACATGGTTCTTGAATAGCATGAATAAGTACATTGATTTCTAGATACTCACAACAGCAAAATCCGAAGCATCACGTTCAGTCAAATAAATGTTGTAATAATGAAACCGGCCCTCTGTTTCAGTAGATAGTTCATACAAAAATTTATTAGCTTCTATGTCATCACAGTTGAAAGATACAGTATGGATGGGAATTTTACGATGAAGCTGGACTTGAGCCAAAATCTTTTCGGGGAGCTGAAAATTGAAAAATATGTATTAAACATGTGGCACTTAGAAATGGACTTTTCAAAACACGGACAATTCATGTAAGTTTGATAGGACAAGGGTTACAGTTTCGAACTGAAAGACGGCAGATTTAGACTAGATGTAAGGAAGAAATTGTCTTCTATGAGAGTGTGTATTGGGTCAGGCTGAGGTGGAGTTAATCTTCCCACAGCAGCTCTCTCAGTGCTGTGGTTTTTGGAACGGTAGCTGGAAGGGTGTTGATAGCACCTCGGTGTTTTGGCTACTGCTGAGCAGTGCTCACACAGCACCAAGGCTGTGGTTTTCCAACATTCCCCCAACAGCAGGCTGGGGTCGGGCAACATGTTGGGAGGGGACACAGCCGGGCCAGCTGACCCAAACTGACCAAAGGGTTATTCCATATCATATGACCTCAGCTCAGATATAAAAGCGAGAAGGAAGAGGGAAGTGGGGGGGCACTCGCTGTTTGTGATTTCCTCCAGAGCAATCGCTACGCGTACTGGAACTCTGCTTCCTGGGAAAGCGGCCAGACATCGCCCGCTGATGGGAAGTAGAGAATAATCTTTGTTTGGCTTTGCTTCCACGTGCAGTGTTTGCTATTCCTACATTAAACTGCTTTTTATCTTAACGCACTGGCCTCTTGTTACATCTTACCTCTCCCCTGTTCATCTGAAAAAGAGGAGTGATAGAGCAGCGTTGGTGAGCTCCTGGCCTCCAGTCAGGGCCAAAACACTGCAGGGTGGTGAGACACTGGAACAGGTTGCCCAGAGAAGCTGTGGCTGCCCCCTCCCTGGCAGTGCTCAAGGCCAGGCTGGATGGGGCTTGGAGCAACCTGGGCTGGTGGGAGATGTCCCTGCCCACGGCACGGGAGTTGGAACTAGGTGATCTTTAAGGTCCCTTTCAACCCAAACCATGCTGTGATTATACGAATTTAATCAGTCATACTGTTTCTTAGAGACTTGTATAGATCAGTTAAAAGCATATATTTTATATGGATTGCTATTTCACAATTATATAAAGTGAGATAATTTAAAGCTGAATTTGAAACACAATGCATTAAGGCACAGGACACTCCAATAAAATAAAATGTAAATTATAATATAATTAGTGCTCTATTTCTGAGATCTTAAAAGAAATTGCAAAAATTAAGGAAAACAAACTCCTACATCGATATTTAGTATCATTGGATGTATATATTAGTATTTTTAGATGTATATAACTTTGATATTCTTATTAAGCTAAATTAGTTCAGTGAAAAGTTGATTTGATACCAGGAAGCAAAACAGAGGCTGAGAAAATAGGAAAGTTAGTGTTCCTCCTCCAATAAAGAATTAGAAATTAGATGAGTAAGTAAAAGTTCTACCATGTATAAATATATTGAAAGATCTGTGGAAAGAAATTATTGACCCAGTTCTTTAACTTCTAACAACAGTTCGGTTATTCAGAATATTGTCATAAATCTTGACAAATTTAACAATATTTACAATATAATTTTTTGTTGTACTTTAATAGTTACAAGCAATCTTGGCCATGTCTCCTTTTTCATGTAAAAAGTATAAAACATAAAAGTCATTATTAGCTAAGTAAAAAGAAATTAAATATTCATTTTTTTCAAACTTAAAATATTAATATGAAGAATTTGAATAAGCCAAAGTATTCTTTAATAAAATTTTAATATATGCTCCTAGCTAAGTGTGAAACAATGTGAATATATTAATCTGCTGCAGATTGAGTTTTAATAAGTAATAAACAATAATAATCAATTTTTCTTTAGAAAATATCAAAGAATAAAACTAAAATTGACAACAACACAAAAAGACATGAGTCAAAGTTTCTCTTCTGATAATTTAAAATCATGTTTACATTTTGATATTCAAACCGTTTTGAAGCATATAAATCCATCCTTTCCTGTGGGCCTCTTTCCTCTTATCAAGAAAAGCAGAACAAAAAGAAAAGCGGACGTTTAGCAACATTTCTTCTTTATCAAGATACAAAGAAATGTTTCTGTTGGTTTCCGGTCTTTTCTGAATCCTAGATTTATTGAGTATGCTTCAGTAATTAATCTCATGTGGCCTTCAGCCCAGCTATTTACCTAAGTCAAGTCAGGTTTTTGCTGCATTACATCCAAGCTAAGTTTTCAAGGGCAAATAAAATATTTTTAAAATGTCATTCCCAGCTGCTACTCCAGAACTGCACCTACATGACATCAAATTTGACTCAGTAGGATAACAATGGAATCATACATTGACCTAGTTGAGCAACAATAATGGTTATATCTTTATATGAAAATAAAGTAATTTAATAATTGGACTCTCAGACATGACACAGTCTTTAAATAAGTTCTGCAACAGAAAGTAAGAAGATACTTACATATTTGATGTGTTCTTTGAGGAAACATGTTGGACACAAACTTGGGTTTGGGTTTTTTTTGCTATCAATCATTCTCTTTTTGGATTTTCAAGCAAGATTGCAAAAGCCTAATATTTAAATCCAACCATATCATGGGACCATCATTATGTTTTTGTTTTGAATTCATAAGATATTTGTACTAAGTTAGGGAGACATTTTATTTAATATAAATACTAACCATGGCACTAAAATACAGCATTAATGTTTAATTGATTCTTAAAACAACCGAGAAATGCCATGTGTTATGATGCATCAAAGACTGGACTGTGGGTGGAAGGTTCTAATCAAAATTGTTTCACAATTTCACACATTTCTCAGACAGAATTTTTCAATATTATGACAACATTCCAGAGCCTCCAAGAGACTCAGCTCTCTCTGTAGGTATGATATTCATACTTCAGCCTTATGTCACCACACTATTGCATTTTCTGTTTTGTCATTTCAGAAATACCTGGTCAGGTCTCCCATCAGTTAAGAGATAAATAGCCTGAGTGCCATTATCAGCAAAAGCAATCTGAAGAGCTTCGAGTGTATTTGTGGAACTTCCAACCTAAGAAACCAAAAAGACAAAGAAACAGTTATAAATACTTACAGTTCTTTGCTTCTGTTCTTAAATTCATAATGATAGTGTACAGATTCAAGGGATATTATGGAACTGAAATGAGTAATAAAATGGTGAAGATATTGATGTCAAATAGCCAGAAAAATCAAAGCAAGTGTCAAAGTAGCATAATTTCTTATCAAATCGGTATTCAGTGCTTATGCAAACACACATTAGCAAAATGCTGGCAGCAGAAATATGAGCTGTAGAAAAAAAAGCAATCACTAAAAGACTATAAACAAGTGGGAGGATGTAAGACAAAAGATATATTCTATTATATCTTCCCACTGCTGCTTCCAACGCAACACACTCCCTTGAAATATCTATTTTACTTAATCAAATAATTCAAAAGCTCCACAAAAGAGTTGCGCAAGTGTATTTCTCAAAAGTAGGTACTTCCTGGCTTTCTGAACAATATTTTTGTCAGACTATCTGCCCACTCAGCACCTCAATATAAACATTATTTATTTTTTAACACAAAAGTGTTAAGCAATAACAATGAAACATTCACAGTAAAGCAATACTGTGTCCCCTAAAAAATCATATTACAGTAATAGCACTTTTCCGGTGTTATTTATATACTTAGTGATCATGATCTGTATCTTTCTTTTTAGACTAAATGCAACTCTAAACTCACTAAAAAGCATTTCACAGCTTATAGGAACCTAAAACCTAAAGTTTTCATCTTCAGATTTCCACGTTTCAAACATTCAGTGTACAAAACCTTCCAAATTTAAGGGGAAAGTAAGGTTTTATCCCTGTGGAAAAGTGTTTCGTCAACTCTTAGTCTTTTAACGGTGCCAAAGCAAAATCCCTGAAAAGATGTGAGGCTGTTTTACACTAGTGTGACACCTGAGTACCACTCTGGAAAGCAATGAGGATTGTAGCAGTGTGAGAAGAGACTCAGGGTCCGCGTATATAATGCAGTACAGAAGATTAAAAATAAATCGCTAACATTGACCCATATATGCAAAACTATATTAAGACAGCATTTCTTCAGTCCTATTAGTTGTGTTAAAACTTCTAGTCCTTCCCTTCAGCAAATAGTTCTATTTTAAAGGGCAAAGGAAGTAAATTAGGTGAAATGGAATAAAAGGTACACAGCATTCTCCTGAAGAAATTGGCTACTCATGGCTTGGATGGGTGTACCCTTTGCTGGGTAAAACACTGGCTGTATGGCTGAGCCCAAAGAGAGGTGGTGAACGGAATTAAATCCAGTTGGCAGCCGGTCACAAGTGGTGTTCCCCAGGGCTCAGTATTGGGGACAGTTTTCTTTAATATTTCTGTCAGTGATCTGGATGAAGGGATTGAATGCACCCTCAGTAAGTTCGCAGATGACACAAAGCTAGACAGGAGTGCTGATCTGCTTGAGAGTAGGAAGGCTCTACAGAGAGATCTGGACAGGTTGGATCCATGGGCTGAGGCCAGTTGCATGAGGTTCAACAAAGCCAAGGGCTAGGTCCTGCACTTGGGTCACAACAACTCCTGGCAGCACTACAGGCTTGGGGAAGGGTCGCTGGAGAGCCATCAGGCAGAGAGGGACCTGGGAGTGCTGGTGGAACAGCTGGCTGAAAAAGAGCCAGCAGTGTGCCCAGGCGGCCACAAAGGCACCCTGGCTTGTATCAGATATAGTGTGGCCAGCAGGTCCGTGGAAGGGGTTGTGCCCCTGCACTTAGCACTGGTGAGGCCACACCTGGAATCCTGTGTTCAGTTTTGGGCCCCTTGCTACAAGACGGACACTGAGGAGCTGGAGAGGGTACAGAGAAGGGCAACAAAGCTGGTGAAGGGTCTAGAGCACAAGTCTTATGAGGAGTGGCTCAGGGGACTGGGATTGTTTAGCCCTGGAGAAAAGGAGCCTGAGGGGAGACTTTATTGCTCCCTACAACTACCTGAAAGGAGGTTGTGGAGAGGTGGGGATTGGTCTCTTCTCCCAAGTAACAAGCAATAGAACTAGAGCAAATGGCCTAAAGTTGCTCCAGGGGAGATTTAGATTGGACACTAGGAAAAATTTCTTCACCAAAAGGCTTTTTAAGCATTGGAACAGACTGCCCAGGGAAGTGGTGGAGTCACCATCTGTGGAGGTATTTAAAAGAAGTGTAGATGTGGTGCTTAGGGACATGGTTTAATCGAAGTCCTAGGTTAACAGGTGGACTGTTACAAAGTTTTAGGCACACATAATCAGTATTATGTGTAAATTGGCCATCCTGTCTCTTTTTAATGATGGTACATGGTTTTGATTTTTTTTCAAACACAACAACTTTTTCCACTATACCATGAGAACATACTGTGGATGCTGATGATGCGAGGGAAATAACTGCATCTCATCGTAAAAGCTGTTATTTTTAGATTTCGCAGTTGCTGCTGTTATAAATGAACACTATTTTTATCAGTGTTTAAAAAAAGTTGACATACTTCAACTACATGGCATAATCACCCCTAAAATTTTAAATGTCATCACCTCTAAAAGATCTTTAAGGAACAGTAAGTTACTGTTTATAGCTCAGCTTCCTTGTTTGACATCCTGGGACCGAAGAGTATAAAATGAGATCAAAGGATCTACCCTGATTAATATTCCAGAGCAATCCTCTGTTCATTCCAGCTGCACTGTAAAGCCAGCTTTCTGATCTCAGACTTATGCCTGCACTGCTTTACACAGGCTAAAAGGTCAGCAGCAGAGGTCATCCCCCTCCCCAAAAATGTTCTTGTACCATTCCCTGGACCATTTCAGATATCTAGATCTTAGAAGGAAATTTATGATTAACAATTCATAACTTCATGAATAATAATGAAAAAGGCCATCCTCAAATGCATATACAAGACAGTATTAAATTTTAGTAGTTCAAAGTATTACTGAGCTTGCAGGATGCTGTACCACAAATATGGCTGAAAGAGACAACTTTTCAAGTCTCAAGGAAGGTAGTAAAATTAAGTTTACTAACCTCAGTTATAAGTATTCATCAACTACCCAGTGAGGTCTCACTATTATTTTCTTTTCTCTGTGTGTTTATCTGTTAGTATTTTTGGAGAATACAAAGTTATTTATCTTGCTTTGTAGTCTCAAAGGTATTATGCAGCTTCCCCAATTCCCTCATTCCCAGGAATTTCATTATTAAGCATGAAGAAGAGCTGTCATAATGCTGAGGAGTTTTATTATATAAATATTTTTGTGTGTGTGTGTTAGAAACCACAACATGGGACATATCTTTACTGTTGCACGCCTAATTTTCAGTCCTGTGCTCCTAGCATTGCTGTCCACACTTGACACGTTAACTATTCCTAAAGCTGCTGACAGTTGCAACCTGGTGGCTGGCTGTGGCTGACTACAGGCATTTTTACTCTGTTTTGGGGGAAAATCCTCAGATGTTGTCAGAGAAAGAATATTGGATAGATAGACAGATGCTAGGTCCTAGTATGGTTGCTCTTGTGCTGCTATGAAGTTAAAGTCAGCTGTCTACCTATGCACCAAAAGGGACTGGAAATGCTCCTCCAGCTCACTGGCAGCAGTTTCCCTTACCACCTCTGAGTTTTAAGTCTGCCGGTGACAGCCCTGGTCCTTGCAGCAGCCCTGCAGCCGGAGTGACAAACCGAGTCACAGGGTCTGAGCACTGTCACAGTTCCCATAGAAATCAAATTGGCCAATGTTTGCGTCGTGGCTGCTCAACATAGCAGGCTGCGAGTTGAATTAATATGATCTCATAAACAGGTCCACTGTTAAAGGATTACTATGCCTGACAGATAATACGTTATTCTCAGATCTACTGAAGTCTCTATGCCATCTGTATTTTGAGCTTACGCAAGCCAAATACTTAGTCTATCCAAAAATATCCCAGCCATACAGACAGAGAAGACTTACAAATACAACTTTGTACAAACGTGCTTTGCATTAATTAGTTGTCATGTTACCTCAAGCCCTTTTATCCACAGCCAAGCATCTTGCAAATTTTCCTCATTAACTTCAGCAAGTTTCCCTTGCCATGGCACTGCTCGGGCACTAAATTTCACAAAGTTAAATCTCTTTTTGTATCTCAGTTGTTCCTGCAAGAGACAGCATCTACATTTTACTCTGTGTTAAAAAATACATGTGTCCTGAAATACTGACTAGTAGGAGTTGATTTAATTAATATTTTTAGTTGATTACATGGTTACAATAAACTATTACAATACTCAGTTATGGCGTATAGACATAAAGAGACAGAGACAATTATTGCCTGCAATTATTAAGATTACTTGAACTTCCCAATGTCTCCATTTACTCATACTTCTCAAACTACTTGAGCAGCAAATGTCAAGGAGAACAAGAAAGAGAGAGACAAAACTGTATAAACAGTGGTATAAGGAGGAGATTATGATTGCTTACCAAGGGAAATTGAAATCAGAAACTAAGACATAATGTAGAGCACGAGAACAAGAATTAAACATAGCAAACTGGCAAGGGACACTAGGACAGCAAAAGAGAATTAAGTTAAGAATTTGCTGAAGTTGCATTTGGACAGAAGTTATAAGGAGGGGAAGATTTGTGCAAGCTATACAGACTTTCAGAGCTCAGAATCTTTGCCTGCCTTTCATCACCATTTTTGTGCAGCTGCCTGTGAAACCTTCTGGCACAGTATCTAATAATTATCTGGTGCTGATCCACCTAGAGAATGACATAGCTCAAAAACCCCTCTGTTACAGTTTTAAATTTTCTAGCCCCGCTAAGGATAGTTATCGATGACTGACAGAATTTTTATTTGTCAGTTAGTCCTCTCATGTCTAAAAGAAGTTAGGAATAATCATATTTCAACAGTTCCTGTTTCTCTCAAATATTAATGCAAGCTTAGATGACATCATTGCAGATTTCTAAAATTAGGTGTGACAAATCCTTTTAGGTGTGTCTCCTGGTACTCACTGCTTTTGAGGTACTTTTTGCACTTTGCAAGCCCCTTTCCAAAGTTCTGAGTCATTGTAAGATGCAAAAAAGTTCAGAACGTTCTACACCCTCTCTTGTAAAAGTATGAAAGTAAATCTAGAATACATATTACAAATGACAATACGCTAGAGGAACTGGATGACACTTCTTAAAAATAAAAATTAAAATGCCAAAAGGTGTTTAATTACATAGCTTTTTTTCTGTTTTCTTTTCTTGTTTTTCAGGAGGGAGGTAGCTTGATGGAAAGAACTATATATGCCTTTTTAATTTCTAACATTTGCTCCTGATTTTTTCAAGTATTTGTACAAATGAGGAAAAACTTATAAATTTATATCTGAAAAATGAGCACATCAAGAAAAATAAAAATATTTTTATAAAGCTATTATATTTCAAAAATAGTTTTTAAAACTGAATAACAGAGTAACAGTCAGTAACAATCAGCGTACTCTACAACACTCCTCAGTCTTCAGGATCATCACTTTATCATACCTGTATAAGCTGAAATACTTTCTCCTTCACCAGTGGCAGCTTGTCCTTCATAGACTGGGATGTATCAATAAGAATATAGACATCATCTTCCAACACATTCCCAAAGAGCCCTCTGCTTCCCTGTTGAAGCCACTTAATCCTGGGGGAGAAGAAAACCAATCAAAACCTAGTCTGTAAAATCTTTGGAGCTTTGCGTATCAGAATCTAACAGGAGGAGCTTTTATCACTGCATTCTTTTCCCTAAGCACCTGTTACAAGCCGCTGTCAGAAGCAGTATATTCACCTTGATGAACTAATCCTTTGTCCCTATGCAACAACAGAAGGCATTTCCATTTCCTGATTTCAGTAGGATCTGGAGACAGACAAGACAGACGAAACAATACGACACCTTCACAAAGTCAATTGTCAAGTAGTTCGAGCTGGGAAATACCTAGTAGAAGTAACTATAATAAGTATTGCCCCTGCAACTGTTCACTCCTCACTACAAGGGTGAGGAGACACTGGCACAGGTTGCCCAGAGAAGCTGTGGCTGCCCCCTCCCTGGAAGTGCTCAAGGCCAGGCTGGATGGGGCTTGGAGCAACCTGGTCTGGTGGGAGGTGTCCCTGCCCATGGCAAGGGGTTGGAACTAGGTAATTTTTAAGGTCCTTTCCAAGCCAAACCATTCTGTAATTCTATGTTCTCCAGGCTGAACTCAGGAAATCTTTTAAGGATACGCTAATATGCCTCCCTTATCAGGAAACCACTTGAGAACCTATTCTGCACGAAACTTGAGCACTTTGAAGAAACTTAATGTAATACAGATGCTTCAATGCTTTGCTGACCTTGAGCATCAAATACAGATCTAGTTTTACATTTTAAACAGCATTGAAGCATGCCTGCGAGTTAAATACATGCATATATACTGCTATGTACAAGAACATTTCCTCAGTAATGGTTGCAGCAAGTCCAAATCTGATTTCCCTTGAGAGTCATAAACCACTTGTCTACTCTGAAACAGAGACCTTTAACAGACAGAGTATTATGGCCCTGAGAAAAATATTACTCACCTCCACAGAGGTTTAAAAATGATGTCATAGAAACTTAAAGGATCTTTTTACATTTGCTACTGATAACTACTTTCCCATTAGTTACTTCCCCAAAAAGTGTTTCATGAGGTCTACCAAGACTTTGTAACAATGAGACAAATCATTTAAAACAGCAAACTCAAAATCTTGGCCTGGTTTTCAAAAACACGTATTCAGCAAAATCCTTCACCTCAAACTTTTCTTTCACAGTACGTTAATGTTAACCTAAATTGAGTAAGATGAAGATAAACTAAAAGGAGTAACAAAACTCTGTTTGACCTTGCTAAGTGTATCAGGCTGTTACACTTTTGCTAGAGAAGCAGCAATAAAATTGAAGTACACGTTGCTTTTTGCAGTGAGACGCCTCATTGAATATACAAAACAGGGCAACATTTATTCTTTCTCTTGGTTCTGCAATATCCATTTTTAAAGTTTCCTTCTTCTCCTAATGTAGATATAAGAGGCAATTTACTTTAGAGCGTCTTTAGAACAGATAAATAAGACCCTCCAATTGCCTATTTGTCTGCAGATGTCCTAAAAGACCTACGAGTCTATCTCTACGGCTGCAGAAAAGCAAACGAGGGAGTTAGCTTGAGCGCTGACCTTCTGATCATATACATTAATAGCTCTCGCCCCGACTGATCTAGACTGTCCAAATTTGTCTTCAACACAAAATTGTAAGAACACTAGAAAACCATTATTAGTATGGACGCAAGCCAAGCTGTGCTGCTTGGTGTTGGATGTATCACAAGGGATCCTAGGTACACAGGATGAACGTTTACCACGTTTTATCGAGGATTCTATAAGTTTTTTGCCACCTTATGTCCCGATGATTTTTGGCACTTTCAGCAGTATTTCAGTAAGGTGCAGACCGACTTCCACATTTGTCTTCCAGAAGGTGGACAAGAGATAAAACTCTTCATCAGTCACATGGTTACTAAGAAGGCCTAGACACAAATATCTGATCTAAAATGTGTTTCTGGCTTTGTATCACTACTGGCAGTTTACCAACCACTTCAGCTTATTATGACAGTACATGTCAAACATTTCAACACCAACGTAAAATAAAACAAACTGATTTTATATGACAGAACACTAACCTTCCTTCCACTTGTCTGAGAGCTGTCCTCATTTTCTCTTCATACTGCTTATACTTTTCTGTACTAACATACACATGAACTACAGATCCATCTTTCCAGAAGGTATGTACAAACTTGTCACAGTATTTTGCATCAATTACCTTCCTATTTGTGTCCTACAACAAATAAAAACAGTCTTCATGTTCCAAAACTTATTATTTTGTAGTCCTTTTAATATCTGGCAAAAAAATTTCAAACCTACATGGTTGTTGCACATGAACAGGTGCAGAAATGTACATGGGATGGGATGTTCACAGAACTTGCTCCTAGCAAAAGTCAATAGAAACTGTTTTTATTCTTATAGCTAGCAAAAATGGAATCTTACCAGAGTGTAATAGTAAAGCTTGAGAAAAACAAATAAAAGACAAATGAATCCAAATTTGTTTAAGGACCAGCAAACAGTGGAGCAGCCAAGACCAGCACTTCTAAGGAAAAATAAAGATGACAAGTAATCTTTGCCCTACCCCATACAAATATATAAAACCAAGGCACTGCTTAAGCCAGTTCTGGTTTGTCTTTGCAGATTATATGTGGACCAGGAAGGACTTCTTGAAACAGTAATTTACAAAGAGCCTTTTGAAACAATCTTATTTATGACGATCTTTGTCCCATTCTGCTAATCAGCTGATTTTACCAAAAACTATTAAAAAAACCAGACAATACACTTTATCATAAATTCATCTATCAGTCAAGTTTACAAGCTTTAAAAGTAAAACCAAACAACTCACAAGACACAAGGGAAAATTAACAACACTCACAGCATCAGTTTGTGAAGATTCATCCTCTGGTTTAGTTTTTATGTCAACAATGCCCTCAGCATGGCGAAAAGTACAATCAGCAAGTGCATCGTACAGTGTGAGCTCCTGAGCTTTCAAGCCATACTTCTTCAACCACTTCTCAGAATTCAAGTATCTGTCATGCGTATGCTTTTGCAGTGGATGATCATCTTTGGCTGTTAACAAAGAAAACAAAACAAACAAAGTCTCCTGTATACCATGGTACATTTTGGACAAGCTACTTTCAAAAACTGATATGGAGTCAAAATTTTCAAACTTATTCTGCTGGCACTGACAGCATTGGAGTGAATGGATATTTCTGACTGGTTTTTAATATTCTCTACTTTGTTCGTGGTTTTCTCTCTTATCAGACAATTCTTTGCAAAAAATCCTTTGTAACTGGAGCAAAACCATTAGAAGGCAGAGATCGAAGAAGATAAATAACTACAGAATCAGCACATAAAAGGAATATTCTTTGTAGTACGAAGGTTGACTTAATCTTCATATTGGCTGAATTACAAAATGCCAGAACACATTCCTATATAAGATATTTAACCTCAAGAAGAAACATCTGAGAAAATAAAACAGAAGATATAATTTGAAATACAGTTGAGAACATTGGTTAACACATTGGTCAACACTGTCACTGGTCTTTTTGAGAGAAGGCCCTTTAAAGTAAAAGGTAAACTACAATGTCTTTGGGAGAGATTTCTCAGCAACATTGTTTGTAGGCTGAATATTGCACCACGTATCCCAAGCCACGGATCACTTGTGTACCATCTTAGCATTTTCTCTAGCTCTACACCCACCTTCTAGCATTTTTATTAATACTGAAAGAAGTAGGATTTCTTTTTTGTCTGATCTCTTACAACTGTTATGTTTACCCTTTTATGTCATACCGTCTTAGAAATTATCTAAGGTCCATGTTAAGGTTGGGCACTGCATACCTCCAGATACTGGTAAGAGGATACAGGGCTCTACACTCACTCATCATTAGCTCAATAAACCACACCCAAATGAACCAGCAGTGGATCTCATAGCAGGGTGAATATATTTTGTCACACTTTAATTTCTGTGGACCTCAGTTGTATAGATGTCTACTCTGTTTAGATGTAGCCACAGCAACAACAGTATTGAGACCCTGAGGCTGTAAATAAACCTATGGAGATGTATATTGCCCTAATACACAAAGAGATCAGCCAGCATTGGGGCAGGTGCAGGGTCACAGCCTGTTCATGTGGAAACATTTAATTTCTGAATGCTTGTGGTCCTTAGAACAGCCAGTGTGGCAAGTCACAAATGCACGCACATAATTTTAAAAAGAATTTTTCCACACGCTTTATGTAAAAAGTCACATATTGGTTTAGGTAACTAGTGCATTATCTGGAGAGCTGGCAGAAAAAATCATCTCTTTTTCTCTGTTTCTTCTCCTGCAGAACATTGCAGTCTTCCGACCAAACTACATTTTGCAGGAGAGCATTTTAAACAGGTTGGGAAGGCAAAAACAGGAAGAAATTTAGGCAGATAGAGAGACTGCAGTTAGTTGGATCAACAGACAACAGTCAAATAACACTGAAGAACTGACAAAATAAATCACACTCTAATTTAACTTCTTTTAATTTATTTATGAAGTGATTACTTATGAAGGCAAATATTAGAAGAACATTAAAACTGCACAGTCAGGAACACATAAGTAAACACTGGAATTAGGGCTGCCATTGCAGATTTGTTGTGGTCTTTTTGTTCATATGCATTATGGTATACGTGTTTAATTTAATATGCAAAGTCCCGCTGAGTCAGAAGATGCTATTACCAGTATCAAGAACTGTATTATACCTTCACAGAAGAAAAAACTCAAGCTTAAGTCCTGCAGAGTTGTGTTATTAACAGATGTACAAATCCAGTGCAGGCAGAGAAAAACTCCCAGCTTCAAATCTTCACCATCACCACCCTAGTCACGCATCTCAACACACCACTGAGAGTTCAGGTGACTGACCAACTCACTGTACAAAGTGTTCCTCAGCAGATGATCCAGAAGAAGTCACCAAGCTCCAGCCTCCAGCCAGCTAAAGCAAAAGCAATTGGACTGCAAAAACAATCCTGGAGCTACACAAAATCTCTGATGACTTGTGCTAATTCAACCTGAATCTTTTATCAACTTACGCAAAAAATACCATCAGACGCCATGTTAAGCATTTTAAAATCAGTGACTAATGCAGAATATAGGCACTGACAGTCACAGCTATGATCCTGAAAATCCACCTCCTCAGTTGCAGTCCAATACTGAGGCTGTCTAGACTCTACAGATTCCTAATTTTTCAATACTTAAATTTTGTCAGTGTGATCATTCTGCTCTAGAGCATGCCCAGAGCACCTCCATCTTAGCAGGGCTGAGTAGCTTCTCACCACCCCCTGTTTAAGCCTTCCAGAGATTTAGAAACCCGCTATGCTTCTGTCCCCCGTAAGGCTCAATCGAAACAATGTGCACACAAAAACAGATGGATCATGTTCTAGGCCAAACATAACGGTGGGAACTACCAGTTTAATAAACAAATATGGATGTTCCTCACACAAGAGTTGTCAGAGCACTCATCTGGAATCGGTCTCAGTTCTCTCCTTTTGACTAAGAGAATTCAAACCCACACTTCTTCCCTTTTAGGGGAACAAACTAGCTACCAGGCTGGAGGCTATCCCAAGAACATGATGGGAGAGCAATGAAGTGCTTCCCCAGATGTGTAGAATAAAGATTTATTAGCCCAGGCAGAGAAGAAGAGACCACAGAAAACATATTTTGATATCTTCAAACCTGGGCAATTCTAAACCTAGTCACTGGTGAACTTAAAATGATGTGTTTCAGCCTGAGCTGTTAAAGTTCAGCAATATTAAACAGAGATTTGTAATGGAAAGTTTTAAGCAACCCTACATTTAGATGCCAAGTGTATGTGCTACCTGTGTATAGACATTTCTGAGAAAATCATCCTCAAATTGATGTGTAATCAAAATTTTTCACAGATGAAATATTGATTATTAATACAATGATAACTCTCTTGAAAGAAACGTAAATGATACCACCTTGAGAAGCAGGCTGGTCAGATTCTGATAAAATTTTCTGAACTTCTCTTACTGTAGCCCTGGCTTCTTCCAACTCCTTCCAGATCAAAAAGACATCTTCACGGACACCAGCTACTACAAAAGAAATCACAAATACAGAACTTGACATTTTGAGATAATCTCTGCCTTTTATAACTCCTCAACAGTGACAAGTGGTGTTCTTTGACAGACTTCAAAAAAGGTCTCAAAGATGGCAGGAGGACAATGAGAGGTGCTTAGACTGGTGGAAGTGATCTCCAGAGTTGACCACAGATTTCTCCACAACAGAAGCAAATACTTTTTAACGCTCTCAGACAATAATAACGCAATTTCACAAAGAAATTCACACATTATCCCCTGGAATTCACTGTAAAAACTGGCTCCAAATATTAGACCCACCTTTGAAACTTTAAACAGAAGTTCTTTTCAAATCTTTCAATTCCCTTAAAGTACAAGAATACCTTTATTTAAAATTAGATCTTCTTTTTCTAAAGAGTGTGTGATGAAATTTTGCTAAGTTTATTTTCATCTTAAAAATTCTCAATCATCATAAATAAATGTTAAAAAAGGTAAATGTTTTACTATAAGGCTCTATTATCAAAAAAAAATGGAAAAATCCAAACCTGGAGTTGATACAAGGGGTTTTTTAAGCTCAATAAACATGTCTGTCTTGATTAAAAAATAATAAAATGTGTCTATTTAGTAAAGTATAATTACTGAAGTCAAGGTACCACATATACCTAAGCATTTTGAAAAACGTGTTAAATTAGGTTAGTCTCAGCATATAAACTGCAATATAGGACAATACTGGAAAATTGTAGTGTTACAGCAAAAACAGAAAAAAAACTGAGTCATGAGCTATCCTAATCAGAAATGCAGACTACAACCTACTGTAGACTACAACCTATTACTGAATTGCACATAAAGGTGCTGAACAAGGCAAACTTTATCTTATCATCTAGTGTTTCAGTTAACATACACTAGTGGTTCAGTGTAGAGATAAAACATGCAAACTTGTCTACTAAAGTGGGCTATCTGTAAGCAAACCTGATCATTTTGTTCTTTGATAAATTTCCCTGAAATGATAATATGAACATTTTACAAAATAACAACTCATTTTTAACTGTGAAACGCTTTTAGTTTCTATGAAATATTTAGAAATGTGTTATTGTACACTGCCATCTCCTGGGACCTTCTTGCATTTCAAAAACATCTGTTTCAGCCATTTAGGGCAAAGATCAGTATTTCCTAAATCACAAAAAGCTCTAGTAAAGCAGATCATTCCACAGTATAAAACACGAAAGGAAGGAAAAAATTCAGGTTGTCATCATTACCTTTTAAGTTTAAGAAAAATATTCTGTTCAAGTACTTCAGAGAGAAGTCAGCTTTTCTTTCATAAAAAAAACCTCTCCCCAGAAATGCAAAACATACAAAAGCTGAGCATTGGCAAAATTCCACCAAGTAGAGAGCTATGGATTTTCTGATGAGCAATCAGCCACTGGATATATATACACACCTCTTGTCACAGTTAAAACCACCAACACATGCATTTACCCCACATGCACACATACTTCTAAGCTTCAAACTGTTAAGAGTGCAATTCCAGTGGAGCTGTCTCCAACTAAATCTGGATATCCTCCGTAAGTTATAAAATGCTGGGATCCAGATTTAATTTTACAAATGCTTTTAATGCAATGTTATTAAGAGAAGTACGCATATTTTAGCTACCTCTAAAACAATGCTGATTATATTATTGTGTTGCTTCACTTCTGCTTAAATTGATGCTATAGACCCATCAGATTTATAGATTATTGTTACCGTCCTCAGTAAGATCTGTGTATTGAATTGCTATTATACAAGAACATTTTTTTCCTTTTTTTATGCTGCAGCACAGCAAAGTAAAACTGCATGCATTTTCAAAAAACGTGTATTTGAAGACACTCATTACACAGGCCAAATGCAGGCATCAACTGCACACTGTGAAGGTCAAGTTGTTTAGAAAACCGTTTATCCGGCACCAGTTTTATCCTGGATTCAACTGGCAGAGCAGGTTGCAAGCAGTGACAAGCGTTGCAAGTTCCTCTTGCTAAACAGGTGGTTCACCCACCTCCACCTTAGCCTCTT